TTTTTTTTTTGAGATGAGAGAATAAAGTTGAAAATGGGTGAGTGAATGAAGCACGGATGAGAGATTGGAGAGGTATTAACAATTTTAGATTTTCTTTAAAAAATATAGATAATAAGGGCATTTTTGTCTTTTTAAGTGCCAAAATGGCTAAAAAAGATGTTTTTGTCAAAACATTGCTAAAATTTGTGTTTCACAATTGAAAATGGCCAAAAAAATAAAAAAAATTCACTGTTACATATATCCTTTAATTTGCAATCTATACTTATATAATAAGAATTAACATTTATCCAAAATAGTAGGTCAAATTATGGTCAATGTCGGATTTGCATTAAATATTTTCCAAAACTGGTAAGTTTTTGTCCTTTTCACACTTCTCATTAATTATGTCCTTTTCACACTTCTCATTAATTATGTCATTTTCACACATCTAATTAATTCATTAATTACGACATAATTATCATAAATCATTCCATCTGAGCTTTTATCGTTAAAATGTATAGCGATCTGTTATGACCTTATCCCATTGATATTTCCATGAAACGTCCTTATCGCGTTCTATTTTTTGGTAACCACTCTATATCAATAACCGGATATTTGGTTAATGATAGCACACGTATTTATTTCAAGGAGCGGATATTCTTTGACCTTTAATTAATCTGAACTGATTGCCTTGACTTTTCAATTTTTAAAAACTCTTTTTTTAAATATTTCGGCTTAAGATTCGGATTTCATTATACAAGTCATCGGATTGTTTGAATGAAAATGAATGAAAAGAACACCAAAAACAGGTAGCCTTATTCATATAACGAATCCTAAAATATTAGTTTGTTCACCAAAAGACAAATCCTAGAAATCCTAAAATATTAGTTTGTTCACCAATCCTAAAATATTAGTTTGTTAACCAAAAATATTAGTTTGATTTTTAGGATTTGTCTCTTTTGAAAATATTAGTTTGTGATAATGAGGAGTTACCAAATAATCAAACTCATAATGTTGTGTACAAGGAAGATTTTAATAATATATGATTGTTACCGAACTTTTTATGATTCAACAATGTTCCTATGTATTTTAATGATTTCAATTTCGATCCTAATGCACGTGAGGTTATATTATTCTTCCAAATTTTACATTTCGTGCATCGCACGGGTTACGTACTAGTCGTTTCTGAACGAGGAATTAAGAATATGACCCGCTGAGGAATCCGGGTCGGGCGATATCTTTTATCTAGCCAAACAACGGTGGATTTCGCCTCCAGAATTGGCTGCATGCATATACAAATTTTATATGGAACTTTATTTACTTACAGCTAAATTATTGTTCTTTATAATTTATATATTCTACCAATTTGTATATTAATTCCATTTTTTTTAAATAAGAAAAAAATAAATTATAGCCAATAATTATAGCCAAT